TAGCTAATAAGAATAAAGAATATAAAATATTGAATCTTTTTCAGGGGCGTACAGAAATTCCATTTTCTTCAACCTGGTAAGTAGTCAAAAAATAACATTGCTGGGATGATAATTTAACACCTTATAACATCACTCGACTAGCTTTTATCTCTTAGTTTATCTATTCATGGTGCTGACAACAGTTTTGCCTTTAAAAACCCAAGCTGCTAGGGATATTACATAAAGAATACATCAACTATTTATTAATTAAAAAGACTTAAGAAGCTAAAGTGCAAACTAAACTAAAAGAATAAAAGGAACTATATAAAATATACATAAACTAACGCGCTCATAGGGTCTATGTCCCCCAGTTACTGCCGGAACGTACCCTAGGTACGTCCGGTATACCGGCTCTGCGTTATCAGCGTGCGTTAGGCTCTGCGTTGCTGCGCGTATTTACTTAACTTACGTACTTACCTTAAGCTGGCGTACGCGTGGCGTAGTGCAGTATAAGTACTGTTACAGTGTGTGCATAGCAAGTACGGTACTGATATTCGACCTCGATCGAGCCTCGAAGCACAGGATCAGGCCCCGAAAGTCCGCCACGCGTAATTGGGGCACAATACGGCGCGATGTGCATGTACTGTTTGCTCATAGAGTAGGCTAGAGCGGAACTTCGTCAAATTTGTAATTTTCCAGTTGGCAGATTGAAAATGTGATAACACTCCTCTTTCGCTCTTTCCCCCTCCTCTCCTTTTTATTCCCTCTTTCTTTTCTTGCTTTCTTCAGTATCATACAAAATACATATAGACATATATTTTCTTGCCAAAAAAAGTGGGGCGCCCCCCGGCCCCCCGCGTAACGCGCCGCCCCCTGTATATATAATATAATAATCATATATGTATGTATCTGACATAACCAACAAACAGTACTGTATGCATGAACATTCATGTTAGCTTTATAAGAATATTATATTCGTTTTTATGTGGAAAATAGCAAGCGCAGTAATAAATATACACCAATCGCATTTATATTATTCCTTGGGTTTCTGCGTATATACAATTAAAATATTATCAGTAGAGACGAATTAAACTTATATTGCATGTAATACAGCATTGTATTGTCCTATTCGGGGAAGCCTACATGAAATTCGAGCCAGTGAAATTTTCAATAATTCTTAATACTTCTCGCTAGATGGCGCTACCGATTCATAATTATTGTTCTAGCAAAAATTTCATACTGATTTGTTTCAGCAAAGCGTGAATGATAAAGAAAACGGGCTTTCTATGCTGTGTAACGGTTTGCATCGATTATTAAACAGCACTCAATCGCGAATTAGGCACGAGTTGAGAATCCAGAGTAAGTAAAACGTATGTTAGCGATCTGGCCGATCTGGTATGAGTACATCTGCTAAAGAAGGGCAGTAAGGCTAGTTCGTGTGATAACACTGGTAACACTAACCACAGGCACAGGGACCTGAGGCGAAATGAAAAATAAAAATGTGCTATGGTTATATAAAATGAGAAGTCTTTTCTTTTTATATAACACATTTTTATTTTTTATTTCGCCTCGGGTCCCTGTGACACTAACAGTAACACTAACAGTGACAGTAGATTTTTACTGTTATGATTTTTACATTGTTAAATTCATTCATAATTCTCATCGTGAATTTATTCGAGTTGCTAGCAGTTGCTTAGATACAATAAGTGTACCCAACCCACCGGCAGGATAGGTTTACAAAGTTCCCTATCCTTTTCTGCGAGGAAGCCCCGAGTGAATCACTCGCGGCCGTTTGCATGCTGGTGCGCTTTTCAGATACTAGAACTTCCAACGTGGGTTTATTCTCAACACGAGGCCTTTCTCCGCTATCTGGGGAACTTACTTATGATATCGCCCAATACTCTGCTATTAAACTAATGATAACCTGTACAAAAATTCGAAGTGACGGAGCTGGGCGAAATATACTGAGCGCCATTTCTGCTGACCTGTGAACGTACTTTCGGTTTGCAAGAGCGGCCGATTCACCGACCAATCGCCGAGGGCGCTCGTTTGCCGATCGCTACTGCGTCATGCGAAATGCGCTACGTCACAGAGTTCAACAAGAAATGGCGCCCTCCAGTATATCGGCCGCTCCGTCACTTCGAATTTTGTAACATTATAATTAGTTAATACACCCCCCCCCCTGCAGTATTGCGCATACCATTCGTAAGTTCCCAATAGCGGAGAAGGTTGCCGGCTTCTAGAATTACAAACCACGTTTGGAAGTTCTAGCTATACTTTGAAAAATCGCAGCCATGCAAACCGCCGCCGAGTTGATTCACCTCGGGCATTCCTCGCCAGAAAAAGGATAGGGACACTTTGCTAAGCCCTATCTCTTGGGTTTTGCCGGCTTACATTTATTGCTATCTAGCAGCTTGCTGCTGCTGTGTTACAATGGTCCAATGCATATTGTCTAAGACTAAAATAAGTAATCATACGATCCAATCAACTGTTGTTAATCTTGCACTGGCCAATAACATATGTACCAGTTGTATGCCGTTGTCTTCAAAAATCACTTTGGTGGATGATTTATCAATAATCAAGCAAAACATCGCAGCGGCAGAGTATCATAATAATGTCAGCACCCTACTATATACATGTATAAATTCATGATATAATTGATTCGATTAAAATGCACATGCTGATGTAATCATGGAAGCATCTATGTGTGTCATTCATTGCCCCTTTTATTGTTGCCATTCGTTCATTTTTTCATTTCTTCTTCATTCGCCCACACGGCCAACGAACAATAAAGGGGGGTACTTTTTTCTGCGTAACCTTCGACGTTTTTAGGGGCTCACTATTCGCCCACTTTTTCGCCCCCGGCCCCTGCCCCCGTATTTTGCCATTGATTCGGCCATTTAATCCGTAGCTGTTACATTCTCAAAAGGATTCTCGCGTCGGGTTTTCTATAGTCTCAACGTCAGACTGCCATGGCCGTTAAAGCTCGACGTATGTGCAGTATACGTGCCCGGCCTCAGTATACGTGCCAATCGCGCCACTCACAATGGTCTTGCGCCAACGAGACAGGCACGAGACACGTGTGAAGGGATAATTACAATGGGGTTACATTAGTAAGGGACCAATTTATTGTGCTATCCATTTAGTGGGTCCCGTTTTAGTGTCTTACGCCCCAATTTTTGCGGCGTATGATTTACATATCTACGCCAGATAAGGGCGGATGAAATTTGGCTACCCGCTGAATATAGCCATTTAGGGTCCAATTTGAAGCATGCTTTGCACGAGTATGTGGCGTACCGCTTTCAGTATGGGAGTGCCCCCCCCACCCCCAGGGATTCAGCTATACTGTATATTTAGCGCCCGTAAAGTCCAAGTGCTCATTTTCCCATAATATACTTTATATGGGCTATTGCATGATCCCATGACTAAAATAATATTTTATATAAAAAACAAGTGCCACCACTTGGCATTGTTCTATTGTAATCCCCTTTTGGGAGTGCCACTTTATGATACTTAGCATAGGCAACTGCAACCCAAATCGCGTCTTGGATATACATCCAACTCATGCATCATATTACTAACAAACCCCAATCACCGGGCTCATGCTTGCCGTACCTTTCATTGTTCAACGTCTTCTATTTTCCGCCGCAACTTCTTGCAATCATAGCTATGATTGTGTTAGGTGTTCGATCGGGGAATCAGCTTCTTCGTTTCGCGAAAGACCCTCTCGTAGGAACGCGTCGCCAATTATATAATTAAGAGCGTATATAAAGAAGGTGATAATACCTTCTTAATACGCTCTTGATATAATCAAGAGTACATGATAGAGAGTATTACTATCAAGAGTAGATAATAACACTGTGTTATTATCTACTCTTGTTACTATCCTATGTCTCTATTGTGTACTCTTGCTATAATGGAAGCTAGGTAATAATTAAGACATCGTGACTCACGTACGTTACGCAGGTTCGCGTTGCAACGCATTACTTTCGTAACACGGGTATTCCCGTACGCGCGCGCACGCACACGCACACGCACGCGCGCACGTTTCAGTGTATAGTAGGTGAACTAAAACTCCCCCTCGTGTCTGCTTGGTTGGTGGCAGATATAGGAAGTCTACTACAGGTGCAGATAGCGGTCGCTCGAATACAAACTCGTTTCTACTTTAGACTGACAGCCTATTCTTACTGACCTCGCACGCAGCACGATATCACGCGCGACCGCGGCCTAGGAAGTGTCCGTCTGTTACCGCTCTCACCTTTATCTCATCTCACGCAGTCGGGATGTGCTCAGCGCGAGCGTGTGTGTGTGTGTGTGCGTGTGTGCGCGCGCGCGCGCGTGTGTGCGTGTGTGTGTGTGTGTGTGTGTGTGTGATGTAGGGCAACGCTAACACGAGCGTGCCGACGCGGCTAGCGCCACAAGCTCGGTCGTCACGTGCTCGGTGGGAGGATCCTGTGTGTCATCGTCATACAGGCATCGTTGTGAAATCGCCTTATTACTCGCGCGTACTGCGAGCCTTGTGTGTGCTACACGTGTCTTGTGTTTGTGCATGTGTGCGTGTGTGTGACTGTGTGTGTGTGTGTGAGAGAGAGAGAGAGAGAGAGAGAGAGAGACGACGTATGCCGCATTGGAATAAGACCAGGAACACTTGTGGACTGTGTGTGTGTGTGTGACGTATGCAGCACTGGAATAAGTCCAGGAACACTCGTGCGCTGTGTGTGTGGGTTACGTATGCCACATTGGAATATAAGCCTAGCCTGTAACTAGTGGCAATATGCAGCTGATATCGGCACATATATATGCCCCGCCGGACTGTGGTCTCAGTTACGTAAAGGCAAGACTGCATACCAACAAGTGTGTACAGTGATCTTGAAGCTCAACGTGCTGGAATAGTCACTAGAACATCTAGCAAATGAAGCTGGAATAGTGGTGGAAATAAATGACAGTGGAATGAAGTGCTGGAATAGTCATTAGTCACTAGATATTCTAGGCGAAAGACTGGAAGTAGTGTGGAATAATGAATGAATGAAGTGCTGGAATAGTCACTCGAAATTCCAAGCAAATAACTGAATACTGTGGAATAATGAAGTGGAATGATAGCTGAATAGTCACTAGAATTCTAGCGAAAAAGAACTGGAATAGGTGGAATAATGAAGTGGAATGAAGTGCTGAATAGTCACTAAGAATTCTAGGCAATGAAACTGGAATAGTGTGGAATAATGAAGTGGAAATGAAATGCTGGAATAGTTCACGTAGAATACATAGCGAAAGAACTGGAATAGTGTGGAATAATGAAGTGGAATGAAGTGCTGGAATAGTCACTCGAATTCCAGCAAAATAACTGGAATAGTGTGGAATAATGAAGTGGAATGAAGTGGCTGGAAATAGTCACTCGAGATTCCTAGCGATTCAGCCTGTTTGCAATCCGATGGTTTTGGTTCATTCTAAGAATGTCAAACTCACATGCACATTGGTACAACGACCTGAAGAGGTTAGATACGTCAACACGTGTACATACTAGCATACTAAAATTACTGGCCAGGAGGTGAAGCTTACCAAGCTGACAAACCGATGTATTCTCGCAGGTGAACTTGACTTGTCGACGTTTCACCTTGTCTTAGGGTTGAATGAATATTTATGTGTGTGTGTGTGTAATTTTTGTACGTGCGTGCGTGGCGCTGCGTCGCGTAGGAGTGGTGTGTGTGTCAGCGCCTTGCCAGTGCTTAACGTATAGTAATACGTCACCACGTTTAGCAATAATTCGATAGGCAGAAATTCGATGCAAACGCAAATTGTAAGATATGGCCAGCGTTGCTTGGCAGTACAATAAAAGATAAAATTTGCTCGTTGCGTGAATTTTTAGGAATGAATGAGTTTTTTTGCACCGCTTACAGGCTTCTCTTTTAAGCATCATCTGACACAAATCAGATGTAGGCTTGGAGCACAGCGTCAGCGTCCGTCCATACGTCCAGTTTGTTCCGGCGTTCGTTCGTCGAGGTCCGTTCTGTCCCGTCTCGTCCGTGCCGTCCACTCTGTTCGTCCGTCTGTCTGTCGCCTCCCATGCGTTCGTCCCATCCGTCCTCCGTCCGTTGTTTGTCGGCTCTGTCCGTCCATCCGTGCCATCCGTCGTCTGTCCACTGTAGATCGCGCGTACCGTTCGTACCGTGCATGACCGCCATTGTCCGTCTGTCCGTCTCGTCCGTCGTCTGTCCCTCATCCGTTCGCGTCTGTCCATTAGCCGTCTGTCCCTATCCATCCGTCCATAACTCGTATGTCCACATCCGTCCGTCCGTCTGTCCCTCCAATCGCTTCCGTCTGTCCGTTCCGTTGCTGCCGTATGACGCGTCTGTCCGTTCGTC